TATCGGGGAAGTCCTACAAAACGCTGGTGTAAGTTAATTCGGCCGCTCCAGGGAGAAGTGCTCTTTTCACCCCAGTCTCCGCGTTCAAAGTGTACTGCTGTTTGCCTAGATAGCGCGCGCCCTAGCGATCTCATGACCGCGCCCTTGAAATCGAAGCTAGCTACTGCTACTGAAGAATCCCCCCCCCCCCCCAACATTTTTTGCTCTCATTTAAGACAGGGTGGCATCCTTTCTTTCTTTAGCCCTCAACGGCAGTTTAAGCATGCAGGGGAATGTTATCGTGTGTGCCTTGGGGCATGTTATTAATTTTGACTTGTGACGAAACATGGCGGCGATGGCAAAAACTTGCCGAGAGTGTCCATATAACTGCTATCGCAATAAGAACATAGTTTTTACCGCTAAATAAGCATATTAGGTTGGAGGTTAGCTCTGCCTTCAGTCCCCGTCTCTTTGATTTGTGCATTTAATTTTCAAGTTTGCACACCTAACCTGCATATAACGAAATCTTCTTTATAACAAATTTTTTTCAGGAATATGTCAATTTCGTTATATCCAGGTTTAACTGTATGCAGCACTAGCACTCCCATTAGACGAGTCACATTGTCGTCGCTGTCACACAATGATGCCTGAGCACATGTTGTGGTCAGTTTGCATTATTCTGTACAGAGCCTGTGTGCATCGCATCTGTTTCCCAGTGAAACGACGTAAACTGTGATGCGTCATTTTCATTATAAAAGTGCAAGACAAAGGAAGACTATTTGCACACTAAATATAGCTGCGTCGTGTCATTTTCGTGCTCCCGAGTAGTATAAACAGAGATCTTCAGCTGCACGTCGTTCAGGAAAAAGTATTGCGGGCTTAAAATGAGAAAATATCCGAACCTTAAACAAAAGCTTGCAGACTTTCATAAACAACTTGGCATATATTGGCTTTGGCAAGGTAGGGGTATGCAATGAAGGTGTATCCAATAGTGATAGCAAAGCCAGTAAAACAGCCTCTCGGAAGCTGAAAGCCCAGGATAAATTTTCTATTCTTTGAAAGAAAATTGTGTTTGTCTCTCCTTTTCTATTTTTTTCTAATCATCAAAATAGTGTCGTGCTACAGTTTTATTGTTAAAACGTGGTAGCAATTTATTCATGAGTATATTTATCACAAACTCACATAATCGAGTACTCGTTAGGTTAGTCTAAATAACCTATTTTAAAGCATAGTTTTTATCGAGCTGAGCCAAATAAATGATTTTGCTTGTTCCTTTCCTCCCCTTCCTTAGTAAACTTCATTTAGTGTTTTCGAGCAACGTATTTGGGTGTACTTGGCGTGTTAGCATTTTGTTTTGGGGGGCACTTCTGATAAGACGAACTCCTGATAAGATGAACGAATGATCGTGGTCCCTTGAAGTTCGTCTTAAAAAGAGTCTACTGTAGATGTCTTCTTGCTGGCGCTGGGTTTCGAGCCCAAACCTCCATGCCCCGGAGGAAAATGTCTTAACCACCGAGGTACATACCCACACTTACAAAATGTGAAAATTAAGAACCATAAGGATGCACCATGCCAGCGGCAGATATTTTTAAAAGAACACTTCCTACAAAGGCTTTGTTCAATTTGGTGGTAGTGAAATAGAAGCCCTCTCCACATCAAGGTGAAAAACCAACAACATAGAGGACTGCACCAATCAGGAAAGTTTTTATTTTGTGAAATTTTAATGCAGAACTTGCATTTACACCGTTGCAGGATGTGCCTTCTATGAGGCCGTTCCAAATGCTGATGAACTCTAGAAAAAAGAAAGAAGCTATGCCGATGTCACCTGCAAACAATGTTTGGGGGAAGGCCACAACTTACAACTAAATTATATGGTTATGCATAACTTGGACAGCTCCCAGAGCTGATGCTACGTGAACTTTATCATTTTTTTTTTGCAATGACATTAGTTTGGCAGAACTTAGGTGCACAACTGTACTCCTCTCAGTAGACACGAAATAGGCGATAGAACTGCTTGACGCTCCCTTGAAATTATATTTACCCACAGTCCAGTCTGGCCTATAAAAACAGGGCCATGCGACAACTTAGGTCGTGAATAACATGAGTGTTACACACTTCACTCAGCAACCTACCTACTTCTGGCTTTTTTGCCCACTCCTGCTTTTTCTCTTATACATAATGCACATTCCTCATTAATTGCCCTATAAAAAAAAAGTTTTACATTTTATCGGCTGGCTTTTTTCAGTATATGTGACAATGCATGAACACAAGGTGCTACAGCAGCCTGTTTTATTTTTACAGTATCTTTCTTGTTTTTCCCTGAATTTATTGTGAGAACCAACTTTTCACATGGTCCAGCCAAAACAGTCTGACAAACCTGCACTTTCTAATCTGCTTACCTGCCATGACACACACTTTTTTGTTCTATAAGGGCATGTCTTGTAGATAGCTGAAAGTAAGCAGGAAATGCAGGAAATGACCACAGCATCTTTTACCACCTGCACACTCGAATAAACCTCGGCCGAGAGGTGGCACTTCAGTTTTTTACTTCTCTGTTTCCTTTCGCTATTCCATTGTGCCGCTTGAAATCACTGACGGACCATGCAGTCATCTTGGCTCTATCAGCTGCGCTTCTTATCACACCACCACACTGACTGGGGGAAATGCATACTTCACCTACCATGACGGAAATGATTTGCATTGTGGTAAGGTCTTTGCTCCGCCGCGGTGCTCTAGTGGCTAAGGTACTCAGCTGCAGACATGCAGGTCCTGGGATAGAATCCCAGCTGTGGCAGCTGCATTTTCGATGGGGGCAGAAATGCTGTAGGGTCGTGTGCTCAGACACAGTGCACGTTAAAGAACCCTAGGTGGTCGAAATTTTCAGAGCCCTCCACTATGGCGTCTCTCATAATCATATGGTGGTTTTGGGACATTAAACCCCACATATCAATCAATCAATCATTGTGGTAAGGTCATTGTTACTACAACAATAATGAAACAAGCTACAGCACCTCACCATATGCACCAGGAGCATCGTGTTTGGTGACATGTAAAGTGCGACATGCGAGATCTGTAACAAAGCTTCAAGTAGCACCAACGAAAAATGTGAGAGAGTGTCGCAGCACCACCCTCACTCTCCCCACTTCAAAGGAACAAACAAAAACTTTACCACAAGCTGCACTGCTATACAACATGATGGAATTCTATAAGCGTGGACACATTTAGCCCTTGGCAGGTGGAGGTTTTGAACAGATGGAATTAAGAAAAGATAAAAACTTGTTCAAGTATTGTGCAGAAACTAGCCAAATGTTGAGACAGGCATATGTAAAGGACGGTCTAAAGGAAACAAAAGTGTTTAAGTGAGTCCAACATTTGTTGTGGAGGCCATATGAACTACAAGTACAATGCAAGACCTGAATGCCCCTTCACTGCAGCTCGTGCAGAGATTGATCGCATGCATTCTTTTGTGATATGTGACAACTAAATGAGTGTTAAAATCATGTCCGAAATATTTTGTTTAGTAAAGTCGTCCTTTCACCCTTTTACCAAAATTCTATTAAGACCTTGGATTTTGCACCAACATGATGCTGAAACTGTTGGCTTGTGAGAGAAATTCTAGATCAGTCAAAAGATTGTAGCACTGATTGGATAACTTTGGCACAGCAGTGATCAATTCTTGAAAAGAGTCATCATTAACAATAAAATAAATTCACAAAAGATTTACGAACATGGCATCAAGCTCAAGTCGCAGAGCAAGGAGTGGAAAGACAAGCGAAGCAATAACATAACAAGAGGAGTCGGTTTAAAGCACCCCCCCCCCCCCCCCCATCTCTGAATTTTTCAGCAAGATCCCCTCCTCACCCACAACAGGCCGAGCCAAGTTGTGATAAGTAAATAGTGGTCGAAAGATAAATATAAATATGAAAATAAGTTGAGTTGCTGCCCACTCAGAGTTGTAGCTCTAGGAAAAAGTACAATGACACATTTTAAAAATGTAGTAATTGTTGTGAAATTATAATCGACAGAAAAATGGAGGGCTCCAAAAAGTTTGACCATCTGGTATTACTTAACATGCATCTAAATCTAAGTACATGGGTCTCTAGCATTTGACTTTCATGAAAATGCGGCCAATAAAGCTGGGATTCGATCCCGCAGCTTTCAAGTCAGCAATGGAGCACTGTAACCACTCTGGCGTGGCATGTAATAGCACCATTATCTGCAACCATACTGGGATCGTGGCCATGCAAAATGACCCCTCTTAGTATTCACATTAGAGAGCAAAACTGATATTCAGTCTTTGTGGGGGGCCCCCCTCCCTATTTCTCTCCCTTGCTGTACAAAACTGACACACCATTTGTAATCCAAACCTCTCAATTTTAAATAGCGTCTTCTTCTTTTTCTTTCTTTTTCTCTTCTTTGAACACAGACTTGTTCTTGTCCTCCTCCATTTTATTAGGCTGGGGAGAGTGAGCAGGGCGCACAGAAGCACGTCATTAAAGAAGGCAGTTTGTGCTCTAACAAAGACAAGTTCTTTGGTTGAAATATTGGCTTCAGCCAAAAGTCCCTTTTCACCGATTTCATATAATTTCAAGCCTCCACCTTCCCAAGAACTATCTTGCTTAAAGGCTGCTAGGTTGACAATATTATTTTCTAAGAAATCAGATTGTAAAGCTTTTGTTTCTATTGAGAAAACTGACTCACATGGAGCTTAAAAAAAGGGCATTCTTGAGCAGTCATTTCAAGCAGGCATTCACTTGGAAGCATGGTGCCCTTGTGTGGTCACTACAGCTTTCAGCATTTTGTAGCTGTCTACACTCGCATATCTCCATTTATTCTCTAATACACATATACATAGATGTTGTTATTGCTCACATTAAAAATATGTATGTATGTATGTATGTATGTATGTATGTATGTATGTATGTATGTATGTATATATATATATATATATATATATATATATATATATATATATATATATATATATATATATATATATATATATATACATTGCCCATTTGTATAGCTCATTACAAGAAAATATTACCCAATTCATCATAAAACTTTTGAGTAATTTCACTTCCTTACTAAAACATACCAAAATGTAGAAACTTACTTTATAACATACATAAACTTATTCTGTTAAAGATACTACATTATCAGTGAATGCACATCTCTGAGGAGGTCTTCTAGTCTAAATGCTATGTATGAGAAGTGGTAACAGGGAAGTTAATTTTTTTAAAGCACATTACAAAGTGCTTAAACTGCAGAACCACACCAGATGTTGGAGGACTGCTCTGGAGTTATGTAAGAGGAGGCAACACACAGTGCCGACTGTTTCAACTCTCAAAATGAGGGACTATACCTGCCAACAACCTATCTTCACACTACTGGAGTGAAAACTTGGTGTTGCCCTGCAAGTAGTACATCAGCTTGTGGGCTGATTTTGGTATTGCTTGCACACATCGTTTAGGAAATTATATCCACAAGAAATGTGAATAGAAGAAACATTTCGATGGTTCAGTGTACATTTCACAGTCATAATATATTAGTATATTTTTTGTGGAGAGCTAAACAGGGTTTACTCTGAAAAACCGGTGTGTTTGGAAAGTGGTGGTGTCGTAAGAAATAGAAAGAAAAGCATTCTTGCAAAATAAACAATCACCATCCTTTGAACCTAGTAATTCCTACAACTGGTTGAATTTCATAATAAATAAAGCGAAATTAATTTCAGCAAAGCAAATAGAAAAGTTACCAGCAAACGTAAGTGCTAGGTATTTTTCTTGGCGTGGCAGCAGGCATGCACTTCAGTTCTGTCGCTTCCACAGTGCTGTCAAGAAAAGACTTCACCAAGTAGACTACTTGAGAAGAGTGAAAACAGAACAATAAAGATAAGCAGGAGCTATAGCTCACTTACTAAGATGACCAATATGTCAACTCTGTTTCGTGAAATTCTTGAGTTCCACACTAGCACAACCCATGTGCTAAAGCCAACGGTACTTCTCACATGTTGTGATCTCAGCTGCACACACCACAACGTTATTGACAAGGTGTTGCCAATCTTTATTTTGAAAATGGTTGCTAAGCTCATGTAGCTTGCCACTTATGCAGTCTCTTACTTGTTCCATATGAAACCAATAAAACATTGGTACTTTACACCAACACTCTTTCGGTACCCCACAAATCATCTTGCATAGTTCTTTCATTTACGATACCTGTTATCGATACTACTTGCTCTAAAAAGCATTATTCACAAAACCTTGCAACACATCACAAACACCTATAACTAGTGCTAGCCTACAAACTTGTGCGTCCCATAAAATAAACTGCACAACTACGGGTAAAAGCTACACTGAGGCACTTGCCCAATGAAATTGACAACACAGATGCACAAACATAAAAAAAATTATTTCTGAGAAAAAAAAAAAGAAGTTCATTGCAGCACAAAAATCCCAACTCTCTTCAGTTACAACTTCTGAACAACGCCGTATTTCACAGAATTACTCTGCTTACCATGGTTATCCATAGAGCTATTTTGTACTTGTTTGAGATGGTGATGACGGTCCTTGTTCTGCTGTATCAATCTGCTTGAGAAGATGAAATAGAGCAGGTGCTTGTCTTATTCGGATCCACTCCATGCAAAATGCTTGGCCTTCAATGAAGAGATCCTACAGGAAAAAAAAAGCACATTTGAAACAACCATAATATTTAAAGAGACAGCTGAGTATCCAAAATGATAATAGCGTACTCGTCAAAATCACTAGCATACATTAAAATGACCATAATAGAGCATTATTTCGCTGTTCATGTGCACAGTGCAAAAGCTAGTCTCCAGAGAAAAAAAAAGCAAAAAAAATTTCTAATTCAAAATAGCTGCCACATAAGATAACGAGAATTAACAGACAATGATGATATTTTCATCCACTTTTCTTTCTTCCCATTACATTACATTTACTTCTAATAAAGCCCCCTATACTCTCCTTGGCATCATTGTCTGTTAGTTTGCATTATTATTGTGTCTAACAAAAATTTGAGCCCTAATTACACTTCTTTCCTTCTGGCATGTAAATTATAATACAATTACTGCAATGCTGGAGGCCTAAGGCTTCACGGTGGAAATTCTACCAGAGAAACCCAGTGGACTACAACTGCGGTGGCTCAATGGTATTTTGCTACATAGCAGGTTTGACATATCAAACATGGTTTACATGGCTGCATCCTTAGTGCACAAAAATGCTCAACATAATGTTTCAAGTTCATCCTCATGGTTTACATGGTTGCATCCTTAGTGCACAAAAATGCTCAACATAATGTTTCAAGTTTAGGCTCATCATCATTGATGATGACATTCATAGCAATTCTCTAAAATTACTGTTTTTTCTTAACATGAAATTCAATCACTTCACTTCACATTGATTCACCTATGCATCAGACAATGAAAACAGGAAAAACTTATTCAAAGCTCCATCAGCGCAACATACAACAGGCAAGCAAATAATGCTTTGTAAAAGGCCTCATTTTGTCTAAGTCTAAAGGAGCACTAAATGTAATACTTTAGCATTTATTTTGATGCAAAACTAAAAAAAAAACCCAAAATTTAATTCTTTGTTTTCAGATCTAGTAACCAGTATGTCTCACACCAAATAAATATTAGTCTAATTTTGAAAGGATAATTCACTCATCTAAACTGGCTTCACATCTTTCTTGGTCGTTTCCTTACTGCAAATTTAACATGGTGGTACTAGAGAAAGTGCTTGTGTCTCCTGGTTTAGCTGCATGTTCAAAGAAAACTAGAGCTGTGAAAATAGCAAAAATTTGGAGTGAAGCGAATTCAAATATTGAAGAACGTGAATCGAATAAAATATTTTTGAATAATGTTTTTCAAGTACTTCAAAAAGGAATTGCAAAAAAAAAAAGGTCAGAGAGCATTTCTAATTTTCTGAGAAAGCACTAAGAAAGTGTTTCTTTAGTCTAAGTTGATAAAGTACTGGTGGGGTGGTGTTTCATAGTTGTCTTATTCAGAATTGGGCAATGCAGAAAACGAAATGTATTCATGTACATAGTTTGGTGCAAACAAAGTATTGCCGACAACAAAGGCTTTACACATGAACGGCAAAGATGCTATTTTCGACATGCAAGTTTCACCTCCTTTCCTTCATTCGTGTTTTTTATTTCCTCATGCTCATCTAGCTTACTACCATATTCACCCAATTCCAGCCCGGCCCCGATAGCAACACGCATCTCACTTACATGAGCCAAAAACAAAAATACAGCTATGGGGAAGTTAAAACGACTGTACCCAAATCTAATACACATGTAATTTTAAGGCCTACTTTTTCTGAAAAAAAGTGCACATTAGAATGTGGTAAATACGGTACTCTCCCTGAATCTTGATATGGCTTACTAAAAAGCGATCATCTAAGCAATGGTCAGCCAGAGACAGCACTTTGGTAAGAGAGTTGGTGGAAATATAGGCCCATACATCCAAGTTTACCTTCAAGTCCATTCTAATTTTTATACTATGCCATGCAGAAAAAAGTCACGGCTTTGCCGCAAAGGCGAAGCAATGAACGCAATAGCAATGATTTGGAAGGTCACGCACAGAATGGCAAGCAGATCGAAACGTGCCCTGTGTTTTTCATGCACAAATGACCCACGAAACGTACTCACAGGTACTAATGAAAGTGAATAAGCGTCTCGGTTGTTATTTCGCTGTGTCTGAAAAGCACGCCCTTTTTGCAAACCGAGACTGTGCAAGGATTGCAGTGACCTTTCTACACCTGGTGACTACAACAGAATCGTTCCGGTGAAAGCCCCTGGCCAGCCAGGGCATACGATTGTCTCCACAGCGAGATAAGCAAGTAAGCGCACGCTTGAGCATCCACTTTGCCCTCTCCATGGGGCAAAGTGTGCAATGGGAGATGAGAGCATGTGCTGCCGTGTCGTGACAATGTGGCGACACGCGCTTGTTGCGCCATCTTGCTAGTAATGCTGAAACCACGATAGTCTCCCCCGAGATGCCCATCCCCAGCGGCAAGTGGTAGATATAAATAGCTTGCCGTTTGAATGTTGAAGGAGGTGCTCTTCCGAGGATCAGTGGCTAACAGCTCGCACTCACAATTCAGAGGTCCCACGTTCAATTCTGCGCACTTGCGTTTTCATATATATAGATACAAATATACGGTGAGTGACGGCAATGCCCGCGGCAAAATCAAGCCGAGAGTGTCCATATAATTGCTATTGCAATAAAAGTACCCACAAGAAACGGCCAAATGACTTGGCATAAGGTCAGTGAATGGCAATTCATGAAGCAGAATTAAAGTACTTGGAATAAAATTTTTTACAAACACATTTACAAAGAAAAAGGCCGGTAAATAACCATGAAGTGAAAAATGTATACAAGATATAATTTAATCTATATGAATTCAATTATTCTCAAGGGAAATTTTCTAGAGTAGTCAACCATAAAAATGACCTTTAACGAACAGAAACACTTACCTGACCATTAATAATCTTGTTTCTGATAAGGGACTAAAGGAACACACAAACCAGTCACTTAGCCTATTTTGCTGGTAGAGATCCTCGATAGTCTCACAAGTCAATATGCTGTTTGAGATATACAGATGTACACACTCTGTAGAGAGCTCCACGGCCTGCTTGAGCAACAGAGATGCTTTATCAATTGTACACATTGCATTTGCCCAAATTGAAGTACATACAACTATGCCAGGTCAGTGAAAAATACGAATGAACTATAAAAAAGACAGAATGAAGCCATAAGGCTGGGTGAAACTGGTAAGATGTTTACTAATCAACGACTGAATGGTATGTGTATAATTAACTGTATATGTGCACTGACACATGAACTCAGCTTGGAGGGAGGGGGCAACAAAAGGATTCCACATGTCATAAAGCACATTGCAAGAAATAATACAAGAAAGATGGGAGCTTTATCAATGCTTCTCTTTTACAGTCACTCTTCCGAGTATACATACATAATTCCTTGCAAAATGCATTTTCACATGTGGAAATTTTGAAGTCGTGTTTTTTTCCCTATCCTGTTATGATACAATGGTCCACGTGCACACTAGATCAAATGGATCAGTGAGTGGTTGATGAATAAACCTGTTGAAAGCACCTACTCTTGTCAGTTGAGGTGGGTAAAAGACCTCTTTTGGCCGAAAAATTCAATTTTGAAATTTTGCAATCACTTGACAGTGCGTTTCTTTATTTTTCAGAAAACATATCACACTTGGGCACTCACAGTTTTAAGAAGAATGTTTGGTCATTCTTCTCCGACACGTTGAGAGGAAACGTGTGCGTACACCTACATTATTTATCAGAACAACCATTCTTGAAATTTCTGTACCTCTTTCCCAGGAACTAGCTGGCATAAGCCAACACATTTTTTACATTGTTAATAAGTCGCATTTACATAATTGGTACTAGACGCAGTAGCCTAGGTGCATTTGTACTTTTTTAGTATGTGTGTGTGTGTGTGTATATTTGATAGGAGTCAATTCCTTATATGACAAACATAAAAAAACAAAAAATCTTTTTGTTGTAAGCTCACAATTTCAGTTCCTCTTCTGTAAAGCACTAGCTACCTTTTTACAATATCGCAATGCTCTGAAGACAGCAGATCTTATAAAAAAACACATGTAGAAAAAAACTAAACACTACTATTGTAACTACTGTTGAGCTCTAATGCGACCGGCATCTACTTTTAAAGTACCTTGTAAATTTCACAGCAATAGCGTTTATTACCACTTCTGTACAGACAATATTTGTAATTCACTTTCAAGGTTTCACCTCACCATGACTTCTTTCGAGCCTGTTCATACTTTCTTTATTCTATGCTACCATAATTATAATATACTTCAACACAAAAACCTACTAGCTCAGCAGTTAATCTTCCCAAGTTGATACTTTTTCAAAATAGGCTATATGAAATTCGTGGGTTGGCTTAAATTCGATGCAGGCTGCAAGCTACTCAGAAAAGTTATTGCAGAGTTATTTGACAAACTTTGAAAAATACTAGATTTGTATTAATAGCGAAAGTTAAGCAAATATTGCATTGAAGCCAAATGCAAAGCGAATTTGAACACTATTAAGGTCTGAGTGCTAATCAAATTAAATACTTTTCAAATAGTTAATACTTGTTTAATATTTTTTGAATAATTTTAAGTGAAAACTACAGAAAAAAACTTGCAGAGGATTCCTAAGCTCACTCTTACAAGACAGGAACATAGAAGTGTTCCTTTTGGCTAGGTTGGTGAAGGGCTGTAGGGATGGTATTCCTTAGTTATTTTATCAAAGATGAGACAATGCATGTAGTACAACAGAAAGACTGATGTGCCCTCAGTAATGGTTTATTCATTGCACACAACTACTTATTCCTCTCTTATAGTGGTCCTGCTACCCCGTGCCGCACGCTTTCTGTGCGGCATCATCCTTTTCAGTTTTGATCATACTCTCGCGACCGCATTGCAAAAGAGTGTGCATCCAGGAAGTAGAGTCGCTGCACAGGACGTTGGAATTACTGACCGCATCAGGAAGAAGTGCACAGTACCATACATCATTTCTCAGGAACGCCTTCATGACAGGACACGCTTTCCACGTGAGAGGCATCGTATTTAAATCTACCAGGACATGGTCATCGGGTTTCACACTAGATGATAGCGTAGGCTTGCTGTGGGGGTCAGCACGCTGAGACAAGACATTCCTCCTTCCACCACTTATACAGGTATCGAAGTAGATGTTCCTCATGCTGCAGTCTTCTTCAAAGGTGGAATGCAGTGGCATTTAGGGTAAGATTTCTTCGTACTTTGGGCAGAGTGACGAGACACTTGCCGACTAAGAAGTGCTGTGGTGTGAGAGCGTCTGTTGATGCGACATCATCCTCTAAGTACGTAAGCAGATGACACTTAACTGACACTTGAACTTCTGCTAACATGGTGAGAAATGTAACGCAAGCTGCTCCGTTTGCACAGCGGGCTGGAAAAAACAATCTCCAGGCTGAGATACGACTCTGCATGAGATATTAGCATCTTTTAGCATGGGTGACGTTGCATATACGTTTAAGCAGGGCAAAAACAAACCTAATAAATATGTAACTTTCATTATCAGAGATCCCATACGTCTTAATGGAAACAGTAAAGAGTCTCGATCTTTACGAAGTGAGAATGCATATTACAAGTTTGTGTATCAGGCCTAAAGGAGCAAAGGAAGTACACATAGACATTGTAGACACCAGATGGAGCGAGATAACTGTCAAAAAGTTTGTGTATATAATTAAGTTATTGGGTTCAAAATTGCATAAATTTTCAGTGGGTTATGAGGAACGCTGTACAGCATAACTTTGATTTATATTCTACGGGCGTTTGTTAACCTCAGCTTAACCCACAGTAAAAAGGTGTTTCCGTGTCCCCCCCCCCCCCCTTTTTTTTATCTCCAATCAGAATTTCGCACAGTGAGTGAGAATCTTATCGGTGATCTCGCGCACACCAGCTAAATAGTTAAAAGCCTGCTGCCGCCAATGCTGTACCTTGTTTAAGACTGTAGTGCACATACATGCAATCATTTCTCATGCGCAAGTCACCATGAACATGTAGAAGGTTCGCTTGCGAAAAAGATAAGATTTTTTTGTGGCTGCCATCTACGACGAGCAAAACACCACACAGGCAGTGTCCCATCCTCTTAAAAGAGCACTGACATCAAATGTACTCATGCCAAGATTTTTGCGTGAGCAAGCAGCTATAGACCCCATAGCAGCAATTCACAACCTAAAACACAACTGAGGGATGAATAACTATCACTTTTATTGATTTATATCATTGGTATCTAGAACTATTCAAAACGACCGGAAATCCCGCCATTTTTAGCGCTGGAAGCATCAGCAGTAGCGCTACCTCGCGGTCACCTCCAGATCATGCCACAACTGACCACTTCTCCACAGAAAAGAGTGATGTCAGGCTCAGCTACTCCGCAAACATTTCGTCTGCTAGGCGGACACATTCAGTCATGCCTAGTCATTGTCACCTGCATTGCTGTCGTCGCTGTACAAAGTGTCGACTCTGGTTCAATACGATAGTCTGGAGCGTAGAATCCCCGCGATTCGTGATGTCGCGAAATACTTTTGCTTCGATCGACCTTTTGCAGAACAGTGATTCCAAAATGGACGCTGTTCCAAGCAGTACAACAGAGGTGCCCGAGGATGCACGCTTCAGCCATGTTCACTCGTGTGTTTCAGTTACCTATATCGGTGTGTTTTGGCATGCAAAGCATTCAGGTATACGCAGAGTGGTCAATGCAATATAGCTATAGCGAATGAGCATCAGCAGAGAAATATAATATGTTTCCTGCTTGCCAGGTTCTTTTTTTGCGCCTCCAGATGGCCCTACCTATTCAGCCTCTCGCGGTTAACACGGTATTACCACTTTTACGTGGATGCAAAGTATACAGATGAACTAAAATTTATTGATGCCTGCGTGTTACTTGTTAGGGATGATATCTGACTATACGCTGTTCCACTTTTGATAACTTGTGTTCATGTTGATGCCTAACACATACATGATATGAAAAGAAACCCTCATTTGCACTTTTTCCGTGCTTCGAACTAGACGACTGCTACTCACCTGCAACTCACAACGATTCCCTGACATTCTGACCGACAAGCACACATTTAATCCTGACCTTTTCTTTCGCCCTTTTTTAAAGGTGGTTTTTATCTTGATAATTTCACGCAACCATTTAAACTGGTTTGACGAAGATCAGACGTGACAAGTGAGTGAGTTTCTGCGCTTCTAGGACATCGCTACAACGACATCGTCACTCAGGATGGTATTTGTGGAATGTATTACACCGAACACGTAGCACTAGTGTTGATCTCGCAGGGCAGTCTATTTTCCGTTTTTTTCTCCTTATTTTTTCTACGCTGATTGATATAGCATTAAAATAACTTCGGCGCAACAGATGCCGTTCAAATTTGGCCAACCAGACCTATGCATACCAAGCGATCGAATGATGAGCACATCTCGATCTTGAAATTTGATGTCAGTGCTCCTTTGAAAGCCGTGACTGCAGAAAATTGCAATTCGCAGACACTTCTGACAAAGCAGTGCAGAAAGATCCCACCGACGGAACTTTTTTGCCAACCAGCACCTGCACCGAGGGATGGGATTGTGGGTAGTGACATCACAATGTTTGCAAACAGGGAGAGGTTATTGGACGTTAACTGTGCTTGTCTTTGGGAAGTTCTAACAGTCAAAATTCCAGTGCGAATCGAATCAAATAGCAAACACTATTCGAAAAATATTTGAAAGTTCAAAGATTCGCAGACCCCTATAAATACTACAGTTAAACCCTTTCATTAGAGGCACGCTCCGGGCAGCAATTCTAGTCTTTTATAAGAGACGTCTTTTACAAGCAGGGGACCTCGTATGCATTTTCCTATCTCCCGTATTTTACTGTAGGCATACTAGTGTCTCTTATAAAGAGGTTCAACTGTATATTGAGCATTTCTGCTTTATGCTATTCAGAGCCATGGTTAGCATTGAACTAAAATTATACAAAATTATTCACATTTGCCAGTGTGGCAATTTATGTTCCATTTTGGCATTGATGATGTACATCAATTACCTCAGATAATGTTTAATGTTGAGAGCAAACTTTTTTTCTCATTGTAAAACTGCACAGATTAATAGGATAATAATGACAAACTTTTTCACGCAAACCCGGGCATTGCTCTGTCCCGCTGGTATTTCAGCCTAAAGGTCTCAAACAGCAGAATATCATGTTGGGCATTATTTTCAGTTGGTGAATAGCTCAACCAAAAATTTGTGGCACAAAGTAGAACCAGGCACCTGTCGTCTTGTTTTCTCTGGTTATCATATTTACTCGCATAATGAACTCACCTTTCATTGTAGTCCTTGAAAAAAAAATGTGTGTTATAATGTATATATTTGCATTTTATTTCGGTGTGATAGTCAGTTCCATTGACCATCGAAACAACCATAAATCATGCCATTATATCATAAAACAATGATGCAATAAAATTCAAAACATAGTTTAACAATCATACTAAACAGTTGCGAGCAGTGTGAGCGCGGATGATGTCCATCGAAACTTAAAAGTCGTGCCTTTTATGGCATAGCGCCATCTGTCGAACACAGAAGAAACCTTCAGCTTATAGCGCCATTAAAGTACAACGGTGTGAAAACAAAGCCCAACCGCTTCCACTGCGCGAACGGTGGGACATGAACCCACAACGTGCATGCACCACCATCCAACGCTGTGTTTTTGTTGACGATCGGCCAGTACGCTAGCAACATGGCCAGTTTTAAACTTAAAGTGGCTCAAGCATGCGCTGAAGCAAGGGAACCGAGCTGTGGGACGACCCTTTTAGTGTCGATATGTGTGCGTTGGCCTGTACACGCGTTATCTGCACTATCTACACAGTCATGCCGCACGTGTCAGGACACGCCGCATGCAAGCGGGGAGGTGAAATCACACTTTGCTTGCACAAAGTATGACGCACATTTCGGGAGACAAAACAAGGGCAGCTTTCCTTCGTCAAGAGCGAAGTTCTCGAATAGAGGCTCTGTAGTTCTGCATTGAATTGAATTCCAGCAGCGGTTGGATAGCAAGTTTTTAATTACCCTTATGCAAAAATTTTGTTGTTTTAACTCCCTTGACTTTTTTTTCTCCTGCATAATGAGCCCTGCCCCCTAATTGGTGTCAACTTTTCTGAAAAAAAGGTGGGGTCATTACACGAGTATATACAGTGTTTTGCATTGCGACACATATCTTTATATTCTATAAAAACACAAAGTGCTGTTGTGTACTCACTATCTTGACCTGTCCTCCGCACTGTTTCAAGGGACCCCTGACAGCCACATTTCTTGATGCTTTAATTAACATCTTTCTGTACAGTAACATGTGAACTGTAAATACTCTAACGTATTGTGTAATTATTGCTAGAATCATTAATCATCCACAATTTCAGCATCACTTCAGGCTACTCACCTAAATTTACAAGAAGCAACAGCCCACTGCAGAGGAGTGCCATAGGATACCATGCACTCAATTTTTGGTGAGGTTGAAAGTGCGCTTTTTGATCAGAAAGAATGAAATCCCGTGGGTACTGTGGAATCAGTGAGTGTGTGACACACAAGGTGTGTTCTCCTGCCAAGCTTTCTGTCAATAACAAAATGACACAAGACACATTCACCTGCTAAGAACTCACTAGACTGTCAAGAATTTGCTCCCCAACACCCAAGGCAGGAAAATCAAGAAATTCCTCGCAAGCAGTTAAGCAAATGAGCGATAGGGGATAAAAACGGTAGCCCTAGCTTGGAGCCAGTCAATTGTGTGCACCTCACAATCTTGTCTGTTACATATTCAACACTTACTTTACTGCTTTGATGTCACAAAGAAGCCTCTATCTGCGTCATATGAATGACAATGTCGAGAGAAGCTACGACCTCATATGAGCACCCACACTTACTTTTAAGCCAAATCAAAATATCTCAAATTCAAATACGTATATTCAGGGTGATGTTCACCCCTAACAATCAGTCAGATATGCCCAAGTATGCACAGCAATCGAACACCACAATTGTTTTCGAGTTAGCAATTTTGGTGTCAGGGGCCTTTAACCGCACTTGCTTCAATTAAATTCCCCCTGAACAGCTTAAAAGATGACAGTGCTATATTTCTCTCAATATAGTTAAGTAATTTTGCATTGCAACCGTTATCTAACAAAGCCATCACATACTGCAAATGTGCTAAGGTAAGTTCTATGCTGACTTGTAGATACAATACAAAGCAGTGCAATGTTCAAGCAGATAGGACTCAAGCAAGCACAGACGATGCTTGTTTATTTTAAAAAATGCGTAAAAAGAGTGGACTTAAAAAAACTATAAACGCCACACTTACAGTTGTTAGCCAGTTTACAACTTCCAAGGAGCGCAACGACATTTCCATATTCACCAAGACTGAAAAATACCTGAAATGCAACAATTACACAACAATTATAATGTACAGAAAAAGCACATAAAGAACACATCCAGCAATATATCATTGATGCTGCAAAGCCCTTCTGATGAGGAGCAATTTTAGGAGCTACAAAATATTCATTTTGGAGCACTTTTCAACAGTTAATTTTGCATCTGGTAGCTCTCTGGAGCAGCTAACTTCACATCTTTGAGTACATTCGAGAAGCAAATTGCATTTGCATTCAAAGATATGAATAATTATTTCAAGGTTCTTGTGAAAAGCTAGAAAGATTTCGATTCATTGTAAATCTCATGAAGCCAACCATCTTAGGAGCGCTCCCTATTCCACTCGATGACGCAAAAACAATTGCGTCATGCAGTTCAACATTTTGAAAAAACTTGTTCAGTGATTATTTTCAAAGAAAATAAACAGCACAGAGGTTCACTAAAATTGCGCTTTATGAAATAACATTCTAAATAAACCTATGTGGATATCAGTAAACATGGTAGACAAATGCTACAAGGTACAACAATTGTCCCAAATGTATTCCCATAGACTACTCCAAGGAGAAAAAGAGGGTCTTCAGCATCAACTTTATTGATGGGAGTAACATGATATCACTTAACTAGCTCCATAACGCCAACCTTCTTCAACACTCTCTTACCTCTCTCTCTGCTTCTCTGTACTGAAGCAAGAGCATTTTCAAAGTGTTTTCAGACTATCATTTTGCGCATGCACCATGTTGCCGAGAGGTGGAGACATGCTTCAAATGAGCTTCCGCAAAAGTCTCAGAAAGTGAGTTCAGAGGTGAAGTACATAGTTCAACAAGCTTTCTTTTCCTTTTGCAGTGAAATTTCATATGACTAAGACATTCTGTCTGTACACCAAAAGCCCCCCAGTGCATAAGCAGCGCCAAAAAAAGAAAAAAACTTCACAGGGTAACGGTTGCATTCACCTAAGATGACGCGAAGGCGAAAGCTATTTTGTTTTTATAGTGATAGCGATTAAATGAACATTCCTGAGTGGCTTTTGCCATCGCCTTCACATTTTGTGTAATATTCAAATCGATAACACCTCCCCCATGCATAGTACGTTTTACACGTGGGTAAAAGCATGCGAGCGGGTTCCATGAACGCGGTTGAAGCAGAGATCAAAAGAGCCGACCCATCACCGTTGCACTGAAGGCACATGCGATAGCATCACCCCGCGTGCAAAGCCTGCCATTGATTGCTACTCTGGCAGAAAAGAACACTCCACGTCTTATCAATAAGCATGAAGGAATGCAGGGGGGGGGGCATCGCTATAGCAGCAATTGTGAACTTCGACTTTAAGCTCGCGATCGCTGGCACAGGCACTATTTCGGCAGGTATCAGAGACAGCTCGTATACTTTTCTACGCGTGTTGTGTTTTCAACACAAACGACTAGGCGAGAAGTGCTTCGCTCCCTTCGTGATGTCCAGATATAGACGCAACAGATGTTCTGGCGGCCCATGTGCAGTTATTGGTGACAATTTCTTGAATTATATGCAGCGCAACTCTTGAAATGAGCTATAAGCAGTGTTTGTTGAATGGTCCATATGTGCCGATGAATTGCTGCCACACTTACACGCTACTGATTGCGCTAGACGTCACGAGCCGCAGCGAAGAGTGCATTTTCTTAGCCAACTTGCACAACAGAAGATGTGCCGGCACCAGGCATAGCATCGTGGATTACTTGGGATGCACGCGCAACTGCTGATAATTCAGCGGAATGATTCTAGGTATGTGGTTGCGAATTTCGCGGCCCTTACCACAAGCTGCACAACTTTTGACTCGCTGGCGTGGCTATTGCCAGTGATGGACTAAAGCCAAGAATTTGGCTTTGAAATGATGTACTTTTGCAGGTGAAAGGCCTATGTGGTACACCAGCTTTGGGTCTGCAGACAGTTCATCCAGGAGCTGTTGCTGCTGTGTAAGGATCGGACGATCAACACCGGCGATACAGGCAACAACAACAGAGCACGAATAAAACATGGCTGGCATCCAGCCACTGTATGAGGGTAGCTTTCTTTTAAATATTTTTTTCGCGTATGCTATTATGTCAACAAACCAATAGCAAGGTGATTTCGTGAAGAATAAGATATTTACAAATTACAAAAGTTATGTATACCTAAGTTCATAGCCATGTCCCTGAAAGTCCCTGGTGTCGAGATTACGCATTCAGTCCGAAATCAAATGCGAATGTGCTTCGGGAACTGATTCGACCAAACATGTCATTTTCATCCAATGGCATCACTTGCTTTGTGTGACAGCAAACAAATGACATACAAATAAATGACACTTACTGTAAATGACATTAGATTTGCCCTGTGACAGGAGTATTATATTTACCAATTCCAAGCAGAGGTGTGGCTGTGTGGAAAAACACCTGCTTGCTGCACAATCGACCTGGGTTCAATCTTCACCTTGGCCCAGAAATTTTTATCATTTATTTTACTTGCATCTCCCTCAATTTTTCGGTCACGCACAAAATTATTTTTTCCTCACAATTAATGATGCCTATGCCAACACCGACATCTAAACTTCTGTGAAATGAACTCTTTAACGCTATCACGTTGAAAGGAGAAAATGAAGGATGGAAACTTGAGACTGAATATGCACGAGCAAAGCCAGGAATTCGATGACTTACATCTTTGTAGGAAAAGTCAACAACAGTGACAGGAAGTATTTTTCGTGTAATGTCAGCTTGGGAATGACATGTGTAAACTCTGGCTTCTTTCCACCAGTTTCTTCAGGAGGATTCTGAAAACAACAAGATGCTGTTACTTTCGTCAGTACCTAATGTGCACTGTGCAACCACTAATGGTATGATCTTCAGTGTGAAGGTTCATAGCAGCCCGGCACCCAACTAAGCCAATGTATGGGGCAGATTTTGACTTCTCGTCTCTTTCACAATTAGGGGGAAGGCAATTTTTCTGCCCCTCTTATGCGTACCCTTATGGTTGTACTTGAACACTTAGGTGGTGAGACATGACAAAACAAAACTGGCATAGGCTTTAAAACATACATCAAGATCACAGCAACATCATACACAACTCATAATAATTGCAAATAAATTTTTTTGATATCAGCAATCATACTGGTATTCGTACTTGCACAGTGTGTGTAATAGGGACAAAATGTGCTGCTTTGTGACAACTAGTAGCCCCTTCCCAATCTTGGTACACTTATAAACAAAATGTACTGAGGCAAAAGTGACTTCTTGTGTCATGAAACAAGGTCAAAAAATTTCCACCCACTTCCCTTTGTCAATATTGTCTTTCCTTGGTAAGATTGTGTTTGCTTTTTGGGAGACTTGCAGGCCATGCCAATACAACGAGGAGGACTGCTAAAAATTCAGGAGTCACCTGGACTAACTGAGAGTGTTGGCAGGCATGTATCAATGACCTATCTGTGCACAGATTTTTAACGGTGCAAAAAATTGCCAAAATTCTTTCTGGAATTGTTTTTTTTTATTGACCTGATTATCCTTGGGTGCTCCTCTGCATCAGTGATTGAGCTGAAATTGACTTTCAAAAGGTTAATGTGCATACCAAAGAAAAGTGATGCAAGGCCACCTTTCATCAGAAGGCTAAAACTGTAATTTATTTTATCTACTGTGACTCAAAGTTATATTAGTCATCGTATTCATTATTAACAACACTTATGAAAACAAAACTGTCACTCACTCTCCTCTTCTAATGCCACCACCTATCATCAGGCTAAGCATTGTGTTACATGAGGATATAATCCTTATTTCATTGATCCTGCTATCCTTTCATGACATCATAATAAAATAACAAGTGAAGTAACTGAAGCCTCTCACACCACCAAATTAAAAGACAAATGCGTCAACCATACATTTGTTTCTTTATAACCAAAAGATTTCGAATTTCTCATTAACATGTGTTGATGAGAACTGACAGACAATTATGCCAAGGAAAGTATAGGGGGCATTATTAGAAATTATTGTAAAGTAAATGTGAGGAAAGAAAAGTGAATGAAAAGATAACTTGCCGTGGGCAGAGACCGAACTTGCAACCTTTGAATATAGCGTCTGATGCTCTACCAACTGAGCTACAACGGCGGCTATCCTCCCTTCAACTTTATGGGGTATGCATGTACATTAAATTTGGGAGCGTCAGTGAGCACTGCCTGTTGCCATTGCATAAACTTTATTTTGAATAAACTTCAAGTTCGAATAAACTTTAGTTGCAAGTAGGCACTCTTGGTCTGTGCGATTTCCTGTTCTAGTGTCCGTGTCTGTGTGCGTGCCCTTATTCAGTTAAAAGGTGAACCGATACCAACTAGCCCAATTATCCGTGCTATGAGCATGAAGACATCGCGAGTGAATTGATTGGAGCAAACTACCGTAGTGTCCATCACCTTCTTTCCAATGCGCGAGCTTCTAATTTGCGCCGTTCTCCGTCGTGCGTCCTTTGCATCCTTCGGGAAGCGATTGAAGAATACGTTAATTGCGATCTTTCCACCACAATGCCACAAATTGCGGCACACTGCAATGGTTTATGAACTCGATAAGGGCTGAAATAATGGCGCAAGAGTTTCTCTGACCGGCCGCATTGGCGGACAGGACACCAGATCCATACTTTTTCTCCAGGATGGTAGGCATCTTCTTCGTGATCAAGGTTGTAAATGTGAGCGTCGTAAGGTTGCTGAAAGCGAATGCGCGAGTGAGCTAGTTGAAGAGCTCCTTCAGCACACTGCGCATACTGGTCAGCAATTTTGGTGCCGGCTGCAAAGGCATTGGGTAAAAGCATGGCTTCTACATCGTAGTAACTTGATGGCCGTGAAGCAGGTGGAAAAGCATAAATCCAGTAATTTCCTGCGTGGCGGTGTTAAAAGCGAAAGTTAAGAAAGGAAGGACACCGTCCCAGTTCCTATGATCCACATTGCCATACACGGAAAGTACATCCGTGATGATTTGATTGAGCTGTTCTTTTAAACCGTTCGTTTGCGGATGATAGGCTGTTGTACGACAATGTATGAGGCCGCAAAGTGGCGTCACTTCTTCGAGCTGTTTGGGCAGTAAAGTCCGTGCCTCTGTGTGTAAGAACCACGGCCAGTGCATCATGGCGTCAGCGACATCACTTGCAGTACCAGTTGAAGTGCTCGCGTTTCATAGTAATGGGTTAATTAATCTGTTACAACTATTATCCAACAGTTATCCACTGAATATTTTTGGAAATGGACCTAGGAGGTTCATACCAACTTGTTGAAATGGTGCTCAGGATGGCTCCACAAGATGTAAAAAACCTGCATGTTTCCTGCGCAGTCTTGCAACACTGGCAGTCACGGCAGATTTTGAAGTCGTGCTTGGCAGTATGGGACAGTTTAGGCCAGTAGTACTTGTGCCAAATATGAGCTAAGAGTACATGTCAGGTCTAAATCTAAATGCCCAGAAGACAGTTTGTCATGACATGCATTGAGGATCGCTGCTTACATCCCAGATGGTACTACCAGTAGAGTGGTTCAAGTCCTAGGATCAAAGCTCCAATTGTACAGGATGTTGTCGTGGAAGAAAAACGACGAAATCCTGCGCCTGAAGTTTGTGGTGGCAGATCAAGTTAGGGGGGGGGGAGGAGTAAACAACAAGAGGGAAGGTAGGGAGGTTAACCAGGCTCATGCCCGGTTTGCTACCCTACGCTGGGGGAATAGGAAGAGGGCATAAAGGTGAGAGAGAGAGAGGAAAGAAAAGAGAAAGAGAGAGAGAAAAAAAAGAAAAAAAAGGAGGATTGTCAGTCAATCGGCTGGCGCGTATACAGCGATGGCACTACACAAACGTTAAAGGTGGTCACACAGGCCTGTAGTCCTCAAAAAGCACAAGACAGCTTTGACTGCTTTTTGAGCCGACGAAAGGTGATGACGGTGTTCCAGTAGCATCTGCACAGATAGTGGCCGATCGTCCAATTGTCGCAATGCGTCCGAAATCTTCTGTCTTTCAGAGGCAAATCGAGGGCAATGGCATATCAGATGGTCGATGTCTTCTTTGGTGCAGCAGACGTCGCATTCCGCATTGTCGGTCAATCAGATGAGGGTTCTATATGCTTTTGTGAAGGCAACCCCCAACCAAAGGCGACAAAGAAGTGAAGCTTCACGTCGACGAAGTCCGGATAGAGGTCGACGTTCCAGTCGAGGGTTTATTTGGTATAGTCTCGTATGTCTTATGCTTGGAGTGTTCCACTCCTGCAGACTCAGACTACGTGCCAGGTGACGAAGTTGCTTTGCAGCGTCAGTCCTTGACAAAGGAATCGGAAGGATGAGTTCTTCTTGGTGCGATGTGCGAGCCGCGTTGTCTGCGGAATCATTGCCACTGATCCCACAATGGCCAGGAAGCCACTGAAACTTGACCTCGTGGCCTGTTTCTGTGACGTGGTGAACGAGCTTGACAACTTCGTAAGTTAATTATTCATGGCAACCTCGTCGAAGGACTGACTGCATGCTCTGTAGGGCTGGTTTTGAGTCGGAAAACACAGCCCATTTACTCGGTCTTTGGGATTTGATGTACTCTATGGCGCCACGCAAAGCCGCAAGTTCTGCCGCTGTGGACGTAGTGACATGTGACAGTTTGATTCGCAGAGTGATTCCTCTAGCTGGAATCACCACCGCACCACCAGAACCAGACGCTGTGGTTGAACCATCGGTGTATATGTGCACGTGGTTGTTTTACATTTTGTGCAGGTGGCTCAAGCTCAATTGTTTTAGGGCTAATGAAGGCAAATTTGATTTTTTCTGTATTCCTGGAATTGAAACACGTACTTGTGGAAGTGTCAGGCACCACGGAGGATACACCAGTTTCTCAGCAGGCGTAAAATCTGACGTAAACGACGCACGATGAGCACAGACAATTGCACTAAATTTCGTGCGGGGCCTCTCAGTAGCGAGGGTTGCCAAGTGGTGGGAAGGATTCCTAGCATGTTGCCTGAGGTACGTACGCATCGTTTCAATTGTGATGTGCGTCATGATCGAGTAGTCTTGTGCAATGGCAATTGTTTCAGCTGTCGATGCGCAGCGGGGTAAACCAAGGCATATCCTAAGCGCTTGGGCTTGAATATTTTGGATTGTGCGCAGGTTCGTTTTGCACGTGTTAGATATAACAGCTAGGCTATACCGCAGGAATCCAGTAAATAATACCTTGTACAGCTGTAACATAGACTCGACAGACATTCCCCAACTTTTCCCAGCAAGAAACCTGAATAAGTGACAAATGGCAGTCAGCCGCTTTTTCACGTAGTTTACGTGGGGTGTCCAAGACAGGTTTCGGTCGATTACGACTCCCAAGAACCTGTGACTCTGGCTGCATGACACCAACTGCCTGTTAATTGATAAGCCGTAAGCGGACATTGGTTTTCTGGTGAAGGCCACGACTGCACACTTCTCACTTGCGATTTCAAGCCCTTGTTTGGGTAAGTGGTACGATGTCACTGATGCTGCCTTCAGAAGTCGAGCGCGAAGTTGAAGTCGAGTCACACCTGATGTCCACACACAGATGTCATCAGCATAAATGGAAAGTCGTACACTGCTTGGTTGCTTTCCAACTAGTTCAATGAGAGTTAGGTTGCACAGCGTCGGGCTTAGCACTCCGCCTTGCGGGACTCTTCGGCTGCAGTAATACTCAGGTGTCGGGCCATTCTCTGTCTGCACGTGAAATGATCTATTCTATAGGTAGCTCTGAACCCACGTATATATCCTGCCACCGAGTCCCACTCCTTCTAGTGCGCTGAGAATGGCTTCGTGGGTGACATTGTCGTAGGCCCCTTTAACATCAAGAAACAGAGCAGCAGAAAACCGTTTGCAGACCTTCTGGTGTTCTACATATGTCACCAAGTCAACTACATTGTCAATTGACGAGCGGCCTCATCTGAACCCGGACATGGCATCTGGATATATTTCGTAGAACTCTAAGTACTATTCCAGACGCGTTAAAATCATCCTTTCCATAACTTTTCCCACACAGCTCGCGAGGGCAATCGGGCGGTAAGAGGAAATGTTCAAGGGTGACTTGCCGGCTTTGAGAAGTGGAATCAAGCGACTTGACTTCCATTCCTGTGGAACCATGCCAGTTTGCCAGGAGTCGTTGTACAGCTGCAAGAGTGCCTGCCGAGCTTGATCTCCTAGGTGACACAGAGCGCGGTAAGTGATGCGGTCAGGTCCTGGCGCTGAAGACCGTCTACACAAAGCAAGCGCAGCCTTTAGTTCGTCCATTGAAAACGAAATCTCCATTCGGGGATCACATGAAGATACAGAAAAGTCGGGCGTCTTTGTCCCAGTTGAATTTGAGCCGCAGGCAATCCTTCGACAGAAGAAATCTGCGACATCAATCTCTTCGCAGCGTAAGTGAAGTGCCAGAGATTCTAATGAGTAGCGCTGAGTAATGGTTGTACGAAGACCCCGGACAGTTCTCCAGATTAGTGACAGAGGCTTTCTGGGATCCAAAGACTCACAAAAAGATACCCATCGTTGCTTGTCCAGCTTGTCCATGTGACGCTGTATTTTCTTCTGTGTGCGTCTGGCCACTCTCAGATCATCAAGTGACCTCGTGCATCTATAGCGTCGTTCTGCACGACGACGAATCGCTCGGAGTTTCTTGAGATCAATGTCCATATCAGTGCAAGATGAGCTCACCGGAAGCGAACGCGTCGTTGACTGTAGGGCACTCTTTATTGCGTCCTCAAGTTGGTCCTCAAGATAGTCGATGGGGAAGATTTAGGTCATCACATGTTGTTTCTGAGCCAAGTCGGATGCTGCAACAGCCATGAGGAAACTATCGATGTCAGTTTTGGTCTGAAGAAGTCGACTCAACTTGGGCACATGACAAGCAGTCGGCATCAGTGTACATGCGCCATCCATTATAAACCACCGTAACGTCAAATATTTGGAGCCGGAGGCTCCATCGGGCGAGGTGGCCCGAGGGGTCTTTGAGGCCTCAAGCCAGCACAAAGAATTGTGGTTAGTGACTACTCCGAACGGTTGCCCATATAAATACGGTCGGAGCTTCACTATGGCCCACAAAACAATATGCAGTGACATGTACCCTCTTCCGTCCTCCAAGTGCTCTGGTGAGCAGCTCAACCTTTGGCTCAGACGTGTTCTCTGGCACAAACCTAGAGAATGTTTTGCATTGTTGCAATCTGAGTCGGAGCACAGTGACGCCCAGCCAAATGTACTACAAGAGGGAAACAAAGACACAGCACTGATGAAACAGTTCAAAATGTCCTCTCTTCACCTCTCTGTCTCGCATTTGTGGAGTACGCTGATCACTATCATGAGTGAACTGTTCCATCTCACTAGCTCATTGAGTTATATCGATATGATACGTGCTAACTAAAGAACAAAACTGTGAGAAACTAAGCAGCTTGTTCACTGGATGTATGAAAAGTCCAATTGTAAGCTAAACACAGGGTAACCTAAAATTGCATGTAATGACCACACCGCCAGTGCCCAATAGTGCATGACAGCCAAATGATGCAGTATTGGTGAAGTAAAAGATGTCAAGAAGTAGACTACACATAGCTTAAAATGCAGATTCCTGGCAACATGCTTTGTTGAAGGGATTTAACTTCCCCAAAAGAAAACACTACATTGTCTTCAAAAGTCAGCTGTTCGACTGTGTTTTATGGAATTTGAAACATGTCAGTTAAATAAGACATAAAAGTACTGTGTGTTGAACAAACCAAGTCACAGCTGACACAGAAGTGGCCTTGTTTGGCGAAATTGTGCTGAAGTGCCTGGCCTAGGTATTCGAAAGTTCGCTTTTCTAGTTGCTCATCCTGCAACAAGCTGAAATGAACCAAAAGTATGTGTGCATAAGCTACAGCTAAGACTGCAAAACTCGCTTTTTCTCCAAGTTAGAAAAGAACAAAGAGGACGTGTATGAAGGAGAGCTTTACCTTAGTAGAACAGTGAGTTCATTTTCTGACAGAGCCATGAGTTAATGAAAATCTGGAAACACACCAAATATACAAGCTGCAGTTTTCTTCAATGTCATCAGCTGGCGAGTAAACTTTAACGATACGCAACAAAAAATCACCAAGCAATGCTCAACTTGGTCACAGAAAAACGTCACAACATCCCCGAATGGGGAGCATACGTACATGAACTTCATGATCGCAAAGAGTGACTAAACAGAAGATCGTCATCAAAAGACGGGTGTTATAACGCACGATAATGAGAACAAAAAGCGATTACACAGCAAACAAGAGTTCTTACTAAGCTGGCGGGAAATATGTGATATTGCCTTCAAAATTCGTACATTTCAACATATACGAGTATTATTTCATCGTTATGAAAACCGGTCGTTTTTCTCCAAATCTCCCATACACCACACTTCGTCATTCACGCATTTGTGAAAACTTACTGTGATTCATGCGCCGCGACGCCGTAACGACCATGCCGATCAGGCAAGCAGGCTAGTAAAGGGTGGTGATCTCATATTAGGAAACCCTATGGTCTCATGATATCTCATGACTCGAGCCTGTCTTGTGGTTGCTATCTCTCCCGCTCGAAAGCGCTACAAACGGCCGCCGGAGCGCGTGAACCATGTGTTCTCGTGTTCCCTTTCATAAAAACTGACACTGTACATGCATTTAATATATTAGCTGTGTGATAGTGTATTGCTGTGTTCCGTATAGCAAGTCCCGCTCGAGGAAAACGCCCGGTGTTTTATTTCAGCAAATCTCAGGCATTGCTGAGCTGTGCGCTAAATGGCAAAAGAATATTGCTAGAGACAACCTCATCATCAAAGACAAGTCTGCATCGACTGTCGTATTCAGCAGACACTTGCGCGATGAAGATCTTTTTAAGGGCTATCCTTCCTTTTTGATTCTGAGTGCAAAGAAACCACGCAAAGATCCTGCTTCAGGAGGGACGTGGGTTTTACATAGAATAGTGAAAAATTGCAAAAAAAACGCAGTTTTGAGAAAAACACATGTGCCTGCGAGCCGCATAAGAAAACATCTTCCTGACTCCGCGCCTATGTTCAAGGACTATCGTACCTTGTTTTTCACTTGTCTTTCAACACGTGGTGAGTTGATATGTGGGGTTTAACGTCCCAAAACCACCATATGATTATGAGAGACGCCGTAGTAGAGGCCTCCGGAAATTCCGACCACCTGGGGTTCTTTAACGTGCACTCAAATCTGAGAACACGAGCCTACAACATTTCCGCCTCCATCGGAAATGCAGCCGCCGCAGCCGGGTTTCGAACCCGCGAATTGTGGGTCAGCAGCCGAGTACCTTAGCCACTAGACCACCGCGGCGGGGCAACACGTGGTGAGTCAAGAAGCAGACCCGAACTCAAGTGCTGGTGTTGCGCGCGCAGCACGGAGCTATGATAATGGAGCGGCGGCGGAGGATGGATGGATGGATATGGCGGTACCCTTTAGATCGGGCAGTGGCTAGCGCCACCAAGCCGTAATACTTAATGAACCAAAAACTAGATTTATTTTTCTTTTCTTTAAAAAGTGAGTTTGAGGATTTGTACTTTGCAGTGAAGGGTTTAATTTTCACTCGTGCCTTGACTTTAGCCACCAATCAGATAACCTCCTTCTAGTTAAGTCTACCCGCTTAAAGTCTATTTTGCCCTCCCGGTCCCTAAACCCCAGTGCTTTGAAAAACTCTGCGCTATCATCCTGAACTATAGAGTGAAGCCCTTTACAGAACATTATCAAGTGTTCGGCAGTTTCTTCTTCCTCTCCACACGCACTGCATACTGTGTCTACCCCTTCGTATTTGGCCCGATATGTCTTGGTTCGCAGTACTCCCGTCCTGGCCTCAAACAGTAGAGAACTACCCCGAGTATTATCATAGATCCTTTCCTTGGCAATTTCCTGCTTAAAAGTTCGATAGATCTCTAGTGCGGACTTCTTAATCATGCCCATTCTCCACATGTCAGTCTCTGTTTCCTTCACTTTCTTCTTAACCGATAGTTCTTTTTAGTTTGGCCACCTGCTGTTTTCTAAGTATTTACCAGTCAATTTTCTGGTTCGCTTCCTCCATTTTGTATCGACATTCTTCATGTACAAGTAGCTGAAAACCTTCCTAGCCCAACGCTCCTCCCCATTTCTCTCAATCGCTTCTCAAATTTATCTTGCTGCTAGCTTCCCTGCCCTCAGATGATGTCCATCCCATATCACCTTGTACTCCCTGATTTGGTGTATTCCCGTGAGCTCCTAAAGACAGCCTACCTATTCCACGTTGCTTAATTTCTAATCTTGCTTGAACTTTGATCTCATGCACAAGACCGCATTGCCGAACGTCAGCCCAGGAACCATGACCCCTTTCCATAATCCTCTCACAACATCGTACCTATTGTAATTCCACAGTGCCCTATTTTTCATCACTGCTGCATTCCTGTTACCTTTAGTCGTCACGTATCTTTCGTGTTCCCTCAGGTACTCGGTCCCATTGCTTATCCATACGCCCAGATATTTTTATTTTTCTGTTATCTCTAGCGTGAACTCCTGTACCCTAAGCTCACTACCTTTGTTGTCATTGAAAATCATGGCTGCTGATTTTTTCTTACTGAATCTAAAATCTAACCTATCTCCCTCATTACCGCAGATGTCCATCAATCTCTGCAAATCTTCCTTGTTGTTGGCCATTAGCACTATATCGTCTGCATACATTAATGCTGATGTGCCTGATCAATGAGTTTTCCTTGTTTGACTAAAGAGAGGTTGAAGCCCAGTCCACTTCCCTCTAATTTGGCCTCTAATCTTTGTAGGTACGTCATGAATAATAAGGGTGACAGGGGACACCCCTGCCTAAGCCCCCGTTCTACCTCTGCAGGCTTGGATACCTGTTTTTCCCACTTTATAACTACCTTGTTACCTTTATAGATATCCTTTAAAAGATAAGTAACATGTTCCACGCCTAGTGTGTCCAGTATTCCCCACAATTCCTCTTGAACCACGCTATCGCACGCTCCCTTGATATCCTAAGGAGGTTCAGTGTCGCAGCGCCCCACTCAAAGCAGCGGCGGGAGGCATGTACTACACCCTATGCGAAAGCTTTTACTGTAAGAAGCTAGAATCTAAAAACCAAACTATGGCGTTCGCGCACGGCCGAGCATGAACACCTTAGTTTGGTTTATAAATTTGGGTGCACGTTCAAGAACCCCAGATGGTCGAAATCTACGGCCGGGCTAGACGTCCGGCCGTGCACAAACACCTATGTTTCGTTTCTAGATTTGGGTGCATGCGAAAGAACCCTAGGTGGTCGAAATTTAGGGAGCCCTCCACTACGGCGTCTCTCATAATCATATGGTGGTTTTGGAACGTTAAACCCCACATATCAATCAATTATGTAGACACAGTTTACAATACATAGGTCTGCATGCAAAAACAAGTTTTATGAATAAAACCTGGCAGCGGTGGATTCGAACCTACGCCTCCGAAGAGACTGGTGCCTCAAACCAGCGCCTTAGACCGCTCGGCCACACTACTTCTTTTTTCTGTCTTTATTGCCTTGCATATCATGACTGTTCACATTTTACATATTTACATATTGGTCCAAATTCAAGTGCGTCACAAAATACACCCACAGAATTCATTGAGGTACCGTCAGCTCTTGGCTGACTATTAATCAATACGTGGGCATTCGTAACAATCGCTCAATGCACCCAATCCAGTCTGGCACATCCTCTTGGCTTTTCAGCATTTCAAGAAAATGGCACACAGATTTCGCACACAGAAATGGCACACAGAACACACACAGTAAGAGAGCGAACTAACAACGTTTACCGCATTACATGTAACACCCTGTTTAAACAAAAACGACGCACGAAACATAATCACAGGTACAGATGAGTGCAAACTAACAAGTGCATCAGTTGTGATACCTTGCTGTGTATGAAAAGCGAGCTCTTTTCGCAAACCTCATGGCCAAACCTCATAACCGCGGAAATGCTCTCGACAGCGACGCGACGTAGATTGCCTTCGTGCGAACAGTCACTAGCGCAGGCAAACCATAGAGTAACATAGTAAACGTTTACTATTTACTATGTTACTCTATGGGCAAACCTCATTCACTCGACGGCTATGGTGACTAGCCACCACGCTAGCCACCATACACCGTGCCACCCACGAAGGAAGGAAAAAAAAAAAAAAAGCCTTTCTCTGTGGTGCCACCATACGACGGCTTCGGCGAGCGAACTGCACCGTTGCTTGCATGAGGCCGTCTACTCGTACTAAGAAAACCGCGTAGTGAGCGGTATGCATTTTAAAATTAGAATATATTGTTATGTAATGGAACGGAAAGTGTTTATTAATGCCTTGCAGCACTTTTTTTATGTGTACGTGCATACACATTACGTTATTTCTTCGTTGTGCACGCGTGACTCGGGCGGAGAGGAGAGTGGTGGAGGTGGTGACTTCGCGGCACATGAAGAAAACCGGCAGTACGTCAGTCACATCCTGTTCTGGTGCTTTGAGCACAGCGCTTCCGGACGATGGGCGATGGTTTCCAAATCTGGGGAACCGAGCGATCATGCGAAAACTGCCTCGCGACACGACGCGCGAACGCCCTGTTTCGTCGCTCATAGCACCGCTCGTCGCTGTCGCGTGCATTTTCGCGTTTATGAGGTTTGGCCTTGAGGCCCAGCAAATAACGAAATCGTTCCGGTGAAAGCCGAAAGCACATGAGTCGTTTGTTCCGCGTCGTCGAAGCCGCATTAGCCAGTTGCATTGCATTGCATGGCAATAAAAATGGTGTCAAAGCATTTCCATGGAGGGAATGATGATGAGGGGGGCGAAGCGGCCGTTAGTGCGTCCGTCCGTCCTTTTCATCCCACTCGTCATCATATCTTCACCAAGTGAATATGCTGTGATTTTTTTCTTTCTTGAATGGTCATATATATATATATATATATATATATATATATATATATATATATATATATATATATATATATATATATATATATATATATATATATATATATATATATATATATATATATATTGTAGTGGGGAATTCACAAGGCAATGACTAGTGGGACCATCGCTGTGTGCGAAGCGCGAGCGGGAGCACGAGCTGTAGACGCTGGACTGCCCGAGCATTTGTTTCCGTACCGGCTGTCTATCTATTACCTGGCGTCGCTATTAAACCCCCTTGCAAAGTGGTGGAGGTGCTGGGTACGCAAACCTGGAACTTCGAAGCCGGAAGCTGCCCACTGCATGAGCAACGCCTGATCAGACGACCGAGCAAGGCACCACCCAGCAAAGCACGGCCCAATCTCAACTGGTTATCGTGCCTACCACCCTGCGCCAACGAGATCCGCCCTTCTTCAGCGGCACCGAAGACCAAGATGTGGAGGACTGGTTGCAGCTGTTTGAAAAGGTGAGCGCCGCCAACAAGTGGGACGACCCCTCGAAATTGGAGTATGTCCCATTTTATCTCAAAGACGTCGCCAGCCTGTGGTTCACAAACCACCGTACTGAATTTATCACTTGGGCCGGTTTCAAGATCACCCTCGCAGCTGTGTTCGATCGCCCCGCAGTGCGAAAGCTGCATGCTGAGCAGCGCCTACGCGGACGTGCACAAAGGCAGGGCGAAAACTTCACTAGCTATATTGAAGATGTAATCGATTTATGCCGGCGATTCAACCCTGAGATGACCGAACATGAGAAGATCAGGCATATCTTGAAAGGCATAGACGATGATGCCTATCAAATGTTGCTGGCAAAGGGCCCAAGTACCGTATCCGAACTTGTGACTTTGTGCCAGAGCTTGGAAGAGATTCGGAAACAACGTGCAGCAGTTCGGAGGTCGACGACTGCAGACGACTCTCTCGCTGCCCTGGCCGTCGATGGTGACAGCTCCCTGCTGGAGCAGATAAAAGAATATGTACGCGAAGAGGTCGCACGACAGCTTTCGTGTCTCTCGCATCTGCCGACCACCGAAGCACCAACGAACCGCCTAACGCCGACAATCAGACAGGCTATTCAGGAGCAGGTCTCCGAGGCGTTGCCATTACCTACGTCTGCCTCTCCACCAACGCCTGTTGCCGCGCCACTGACTTATGCAGCCGTCGCGGCAATGCCTCCATCTCGTCTGCCAATGTATACGCCACAACCTATGCGACCGTCCACCACGCCATTTCCAGCTACACAGCAACAAGCCGGAAATCCTTGGCGCACTGCTGACAACCGGCCCATATGTTACTTTTGCGGAATTCCAGGTCACGTTGCACGTCTATGTCGTCGGCGCTCCACAGTTAACGCACCAAGATATTCTGACTATTCGTTTCGGCCTCCATACCACGCGCCTCACGTACCACCTGAAGTTCACGAACGCGATGCGCAAACTGCTTCCGGCACCCGAACATTCGCTTCTACACGTTCTACTTCCCGCTCACCTTCACCTTCAACAAGTCGTCGTTCTGTATCGCCTATGCGTCGACGACCCACCCCCATTGAGACGGAAAACTAACTGCCGCAGCTCCGGAGGCACGAGCTGCGTCATCGTCTAATCGTTTAAGTCCTCGCCTGTCTCCCGCCAATCTTATCTATGTAATCGTCGAAGGTGTACGAACACTCGCACTCATCGATACCCGTGCCGCGATATCTGTGATTAGTCAAAGACTCTGCCGCTCTCTTCGTAAAGTGACGATGCTTTCTCCCGTTGTTTCTCTTAGTACTGCGAGCGCCCAACGAATTGAGCCCGTCGCGGCATGTACAGCAAAAGTGGTTATTCGAGACGTGTTGTACACCATTGAATTTCACGTGTTGGCTTCATGTTCCCACGATGTCATCCTAGGATGGGATTTTTTATCACGTCATCAAGCTGTCGTGGACTGCGCTCGGGCCGAAGTGGAGCTGTTACCGTTTCGTGATGCGCCTTCTGTTGATGCGGCCATATCTAGTGTGGCTAACCTTGTCGTCGCGACGGACATAGACCTTCCTCCTTTAGCGCCCAGTTTGTCCCTGCCCGCTGTGCTTCACTTTCTGACGCTACCGTCCTATTCACGCCATCAGACATCCTCGGTAGCCGCCACCACACATCGCTGCCATTCGCCGTTCTTGAGCTTTGTCAAGACACTACCGGGATATTTATTTCCAATCCCAACTCGTGCCCCCTTAGTTTGCGCCGCAACGAGACGCTCGGTCACATTCAGCTTATCGATGAAGGTACTATCGTGCCTGCCGATTTCTTCGACACCAAGCCGAATATGGAGCTGAACGCGTTGGTTCCTCACTTTGCCTCGAACAGCGTGTCTACCGATGCATTTCACCGTTCTATTGACAGCCATCTCGCCCCGGCTCAACGAGAGCAGCTTGTTACCCTGCTGCACGAATTCAAGCGTTCATTTGACTTTCCCCAAGCGGTGCTAGGAGGAACGAACACCGTTGTGCACACAATTGACACAGGAAAGAGTACTCCTTTGCGCCAGCGCCCTTACCGTGTGTCACCAGCGGAGCGTCGGGTAATTGCAGAACAAGTAGACGACATGCTACAGCGTAGAGTCATCAAGCCTTCTTGTAGTCCTTGGTCTTCCCCAGTTGTACTCGTCAAAAAAAAAAAAAGGATGGTTCAATCCGGTTCTGCGTAGACTACAGGCGCCTAAACAACATTACGAGGAAAGATGTTTACCCTCTTCCCCGCATAGACGACGCTCTCGATTGTCTCCAAGGTGCAGAATTCTTTTCCTCGCTTGACCTTCGCTCGGGTTATTGGCAGGTCCCAATGGCTGAGTCTGATCGTCCAAAAACGGCGTTTGTCACACCAGATGGCCTCTATGAATTTACCGTCATGCCATTCGGACTCTGCAATGCGCTTGCCACATTCGAGCGAATGATGGACAGCATTTTACGCGGTCTCAAATGGAACATTTGCTTGTGCTATCTTGATGACGTAGTGGTTTTTTCATCCAATTTCACTTCGCATCTCACTCGTCTGCGTAAGATTCTACAGTGCCTTACAAACGCCAGGCTTCAGCTTAACCTGAAGAAGTGTCACTTCGGGGCTAAACAACTCACCATACTTGGTCATGCATTCGAAAGCCGGCATTCTTCCCGACCCTGACAAGCTTCGTGCTGTTGCCGAATTTCCTAAGCCGACTACTGTTAAAGAACTACGGAACTTTGTGGGCCTGTGCTCCTATTTTCGTCGCTTTGTCCGGAACTTTGCCTCCATCATCGCTCCACTCACCAAACTCCTTGCTGGCCCTGCAGATCTTTCGAATTGGGCAGCAGCCTGTGACGAATCCTTCGCAACACTGCGCCACCTCCTTACCTCACCACCCGTACTGCGCCATTACGACCCTACTGCGCCAACCGAAGTACACACGGATGCAAGTGGCGTCGGCCTTGGTGCAGTACTCGCGCAACGCAAGCCAGGTTTTACGGAGTATGTGGTCGCCTATGCCAGCCGCGCCCTCACTAAGGCAGAAGCCAACTATTCTGTTACGAAAAAAGAGTGCCTCGCGATTGTGTGGGCGTTAAACAATTTTCGCCCCTATTTGTACGGCCAAACTTTGGTAACTGACCATCACGCACTCTGTTGATTGGCTTCGCTGAAAGATCCTTCCGGCTGCCTCGGACGTTGGGCACTACGCCTCCAGGAATTCGACATACGCGTCGTCTACCGATCGGGGTGAAAGCACTCTGACGCAGATGTGCTTTCACGATCACCTGTGAAGTCTGATGATACGGATATATCAGCCCTGGACCTTCCCCTCTCTGCCGTCAGCGTCACAGACATGCCATCCGAACAGCGGAAGGACCCTTGGATGGCCTCGCTCTTGAATATGCTTTCTGACGCATCAACTTCCGGTTACCCGTGTGCTGTTCGCCGCCAAGCAACGCATTTCACCATACGGGATGGCCTGTTATACCGTCGCAACTATCAAGTGGCGGGTCGTAAATGGCTGCTAGTCATACCCAGCCATATGCGGTCTGATTTCTGCAAATATTTTCATGCTGAACCGCAACACGCACACGCCGGTGCGCTAAAGACGTATGAGCGGATCCGCTAACGTTACTACTGGCGGGGTATGTACACGTTTGTACGCAAACACATTCGCTCATGTTCCCAGTGTCAGCAGCGCAAGACATTCTCTCATTCACCCGGTCAACTGCAGCCTTTGCCATGTCCTGCAC